GGGTTTTAATATATCCATTAAAAGCTAATAGCAAACATAATCTTTAATAAATGAGTCAAAGTTGTTCTTTTGAGTGGTAATGAGATTTGTGATAAGAACCACTCTCACCTTCCTGCTCAGACACACAAATAGAAAATTAAAGAACTTAATTTCTGCAATCAGAATAATCGGTGTATGACAGTAGAAGTTGGAAATAAGCACAAAATGTAAGAGTAAAAGGGGAAGAGATTGGAAATAAGATACGGAAAAATAAAAGAGAGAGAAAAGAGGGGAGAAAAGACACAGAGAGAGGGATAGAGGGAGAGAGGGAAGAAGAGAGAGGAGGTACAATGTTATTATACATATATTTTTGTATCACAACTTCAGTCCTTTGATTCTTAACTGAAAAGTTATTGCATGTCTTGCTGTAGCTTCATCAGTTTAAAATTGCAATGGTGCTTACAAATCAATTCTGATGATACCAATGTTTCATGACACTTTAATTTAATCAGATCACCATAATTAAATTTTCCAAGTGATTAAATCACCTTTTATAAAGTATATTACTTTTATTTCAATTATTAATTAAAATTAATGATCATAGCAAACTCTCTTTCTTGTGTCTTTCCCTAAGCTATATGTGTTTCCTTACACCCCACCAGTTCTTTTTAATTTCCAAAGAGCAATAGATTGAGGACATAAATGCAGTAAACAAAAAAGTGGAATTCAGTATATCTTGAAACTTGTCCATGAAGAATGATCATACCAATGGAATAAATCTTAGAGAAAATATTTAAGACTAGTATTTGTGTGGATATATAATGAGAAAATATAGAATATAAGTATTATTTCTGGTGTCATATATTTTGACTGATAATGAAACTAATAATTTAATGTTTTAAATTTCAAATGTCAAAGGAGGAAGAATAAGACAGGGAAGAAGAGGTAGAAACAGCAGGAACTGCTGCCACCACTCCTATAATATTTCTTAGAAGAAATGATACCATATCTGTGGTTTCACACATCCACTTGGAATGTATTCCCCATGGATAAGGGGGCACTACTATATCCCCCCAAAAAAATGGTTTGAACATAAAGTAGAGTAGAAATGTCCAGAGAGGGGGAATGGGAGTAATTGTTTAATGGATATAGAGCTTCTATTTGAGATGATGAAAATGTTCTGGATAAGGATAGTGGTGATGGTCTCACAACATGTGAATGTAATTAATGCCAGTAAAAATCTATACTAATAAAAGGGTAATGTGCTAATTAAAAAAAAAAAAAAAAAAAAATATAATATTTCTTAGAAGAAATGATAGAAGTTTTTCAAAAGATAATCAAAGAATGAAAAATATATTTTTAAAGGTGACACTAAATCCAAAAACTATCAAAAATGATAAATTCAGATATAGCAAGAAACTATCATTTTGCAAGTTACAATCCACAATAAGCAAAAGCAAAAGGACGAACTAGAAAAATTATACGTTTTGGAAAATTGATAATTGTCCATAATAGCAAGTATACCTTTATTCTTTTTTTTCCTTCACATTTCAGTCAACTTCTTTAAAGTTTTCTGGGAGTTTCAACAGGAATTTTATGTGCAAAACCAACAGCTGTGTGGGGTCTGTCCTATAGGATATCCTGATACAGCTGTGTGCAGGTGGCTTGGGGTAGCCTCTGCCCCACACCAGGGTCTCTTTCACAATAGAGGGCCATATTTTCTGGGGGTGGGGGGGGTCAGGAGGGTCAGGGGCCTGGTCCAGCTCCAGCTCCACATTGTGAGGGCAGACCCATGGGGGCTTTGGCAGTGTCAGGTCAAGTCCTGGTCCATCCTGGAGACCAGCACCTTGATGTCATTGCTGATGTCTGCGATCATGTGGTCCCATTGGTTCACATTGAAGGTCACAGATTGGTTGTTGGAGCTGCCAGCTTCCCTGTTCCCATTGGAGGTGGAAGTAAAGGTGGAGCTCGTGGCCTGCCTATATTGGCTGAAGCTGTCAGTGATGATGTTGTGGCTGCCCTTCACCCTGATGGTCTTGAGGGAGTTCTCAAAGTGCTGGCTGTCCTTCTCAGGGATGAAGGGCTGCAGACTGAGCAGCAGGAACTTACAGCTGTCCCCACAGAACTGCAGCAGGTTCGCATGGAACTTGAGCACCGAGCACTGTTGAGGTACTCATGAAGCAGAGCTGAAAACTGCTGAATCTCCTGGGAGGACAGCTTGGTTTGCAGCATGGCATGTAGTCCTATAGTAGCTCCATGGCCACGGTGCTCAGCTTGCTCTTGTGAAGTGTCTTGGCATGGGGCACTGTGGGCATGCAGGACAAGATGTCACCTGCGTGCAGCACTCAGGAAAGGAGAAAGTGCTGGCGTCTGTCTTGTATGAATCCTTCATGTCTACCTTGGTGGAAGAGTAATCACTACTGTGGGAGGACAGGTGGTAGGTTGATGTCGAGGACACATCAAATATGGCTTTGTCCAGAAAGTCGATGGTGGGCTCTGTGTATATGATCTGGAAGACCTGCCTTGACTCATCTGCTGCCACCTTGCTCTCCATGGCCAGTATCACCAGGCAACAGACCTCCACAGGCTCCACTCCACTCTCCAACATGGAGCTTGTGGTGAGGCCTCTGGAACTTTTTACCCACAGACTGACTGAGGGAGACACTGGGGTCTTTTGTTGTCTTCAGGACCACCAAGTGCAAGGCATCATGCCACGTATAGGACATGGCCTAATGACATGAATGGGGGCCCTGAAGATGCTTTCTTCTCTGTCCCTCCAGGCCAGCTTGACATTTCAGGCAGACAGGCTGATGAGCTCATCTTGCTCCTGGATCAACTATCTGAGGAGCTGGTGGGCTCTCTTTTTGTTGTCTATGAGGTGCAGGATCTCTGTCTTACTGGATGGTTTTAGGTTTATGGACATTAACTTACCTAAACACTTCATCTCCTTCTCAATGTAGTTGCTCAACAGTCTGTCAGGCTCCACTCACTCAGGCAGGGACAGCACCACAATGTGCATAGACACTGCTCTGTCACCTTCTCGTAGGCTTTTGTATCTCCGCTCTTTTCACCTTTGAGGATGACTTGCTTAATAGCCAATATAATTCCGGGTTTCTTGACCTTCTTGCCCTCCTCCTCCATGTCACTGTGAGTGGTCCCCACAGCCATGACCGCTATGGGAGCCCCGTGACCACTACATCCTTGCCCCAGCCCTGTGATTGCTGCACCCGTATTCCTTCACTGCCCACCATTTGCCCTGCTGCCATCTCTGCCCACAGCTGTCAGGGCTTATTCCTATAGTATTAGTTTCACCACCACAGGGCTGCCAACCTAAAGGCTATATTTACCAGTCCCATGAGCATCTAGATATGGCCTTAATCAAAGTTCTGGCTAACAGGGTTTGAGTGAGTATGAGGCATAAAATCTTTGACTCTTGCCCTTAAAAAAATTGCTGGCAGACTTATCTGGATCTCTCCATTCTTCTTGATCTCTGGGGGTTAGTAAGAATCAGAGGTGTCACCTTGGGCCTATAATTAGAAGCTATTTGTTGATACATGGACTTTGTATCTAGTAGAATCGTGAAAGGGAAAAAAATTTCTACATTTAACCATTTGGGGATATTTTTTATATAATAATATATGATATTCCCTAATAATACATTATTTCACAAAGTGATAATATCCTTATTTATAAAGATCCCCTACAATAGAAAAACTGTAAGATTAACTATATAATAAAAAAGTAGCAAAAAAAAACCCAGTTCCAAGGAAAGGTAATAAAAATAGATCTTAAGCATATGAAGAGTTGCTAAATTAACTCAAAAAAGAAAAGATGAAAATTGAGATTCTACTGAAAAGGCATTTTCAACTATCAGATTGACAAAGACCTGAAAAGGTTGGTGAAATGCTATGTTCATGAACATAAGAGTAAAAATGCACTTTTATGTAGTAATGACTGGAGTACAAAAGTATAACATTTATATACATACATACTCTTTGACCTAGCAAATTCAAGGCATTCATCGTATAAACATACATGCACCAATGTGAAATAGCATAACTAAAAGGTCATTTATTTCAGCATTGTTTGTATTAAGAAAAAGTCAGAAGTGACCTAAATATCCATTGGTAATAAATTGGCTAAGTAATTGTGGTATGTCTAGAAAATGAAACACTATACTATCCTAAGAAATATTGAAGAAATTCCTAATGAAAGATCAAGATATATTTTATTTGGTTTTTATATGAAATTATTGGAGTGACAATGGTTAATAAAATTAGATTATTTTCAAGTGTAAGAATTCTAGAATAGATCATTTGTATATTGTACTGTGTGTTCACCACCCAAAGTAAAGTGTACTTCCAATAACATTTATCCTCGCTTTACCCTTTTCTACCTCCCCCACCACACTTTCCTTCTGATAATCACCATAGCATTGTCTGTGTTGAGTTTTTTTTTTAATCCCTAAACCTTTTTCACCCAACTCCCACCCTCTCACCTCTGACAGCTGTCAGTCTGTTCTATGTATCTGTGGGTCTGTTTCTATTTTGTTTGTCAGTTTATTTTGTTAATTAGATTTCACATATAAGTGAAATCATATGGTATTTGTCTTTCTCTTACTGGTTTATTTCGCTTAGTATAATATTCCCCAGATCCACCCATGCTGTTCCCAAAAGGTAAGATTTCTTTTTTTATGGCTGACGTATTTACCACAGCTTTTTTAAAATATATTTTATTGATTTTTTACAGAGAGGAAGGGAGAGGGATAGAGAGTTAGAAACATCGATGAGAGAGAAACATTAATCAGCCGCCTCCTGCACACTCCCCACTGGGGATGTGCCCGCAACCAAGGTACATGCCCTTGACTGGAATCGAACCTGGGACCCTTGAGTCCACAGGCCGCTCTATCCACTGAGCCAAACCGGCCAGGGCTACCACAGCTTTTTTATCCACTCATCTACTCAGAGGCACTTGGGCAGCTTCCAAATCCTGGCTGTAAGAAGTAATCAAATGGCCAAAACAAAGCACAGTGAAATCCATTTGAAGTTTCAAAGACTAAAACGGAGAACAAAACAATAAAGACAATACCATTCTACAGCAGGAATTGAACAGTAATCTTGGAAAGTGCATGTATTTTCAATTTATTTCTCAGAATGTGCTTAACCTCATTTGGGGAGAGAGTGTGATATACAGAAAGAATGAACACTGCAGAATCTTGCTATTTGCTAGCTGTGAGGTCTTAGACAATTCAAATAATCTTTGTATCTGCTGTTTCTGTAGCCACAAAATAGGAATATCATCAGCTAAGTTATCAGTTTGCTGTAAGGATTAGAGAGTTTGTGTATTGCCACACATGGGGATATGTATTTGTGTGGGATATACAGAATTGCAAATGTATAATTTTTAACCTAATAATAGCTAATAATATGGCCATAATCACCATTCTTTCTTGTCTTCACTCTCCACAGGGCTCCTGAACCCCTTCAAAAGACACTGTTTTTTTTGAGAAGCTAAAAGCTGCCCACATAACCCTAAGTCTTGATCAGTAGCCATGCATAGCATATTTAAGTAATCCTGTCTGATTCTAATACTCTCCAACCTGTCTTTCTTCCTTGACTTCCGGGGTTAGCTAAAAATTGTGTTGTGCCTGAAGTTTATGCATTGTATGTGGACTTGTTTAAAAAGGAGCAGACAGAACTTTGAATACAGCTAGTAAAGAAAACGGTATGGAGATTCTTCAAAAATTCAAAATACATCTGCCATATGGCCCAGAAATACCACTTCTGGATACTGATCTGAAGAAAACAAAAACACTAATTCAAAAATTATTTTAAAAATATGTCCTATGTTCATTGCAGAATTATTTAAAATAGCCAAGATATGGAAGAAATCTAGCGGTTCATTGATAGATAAACACAAAAATAAGATGTGGTATACATATACAATGAAATATGCTTAGCAATAAAAAATGAAATATTTTTGGAACAACATGGATGGAACCAAAGAGCGTTATGCTAAGTGAGACAAGTCAGACAGAAAGAGATAAATACTGCATGATTTCACTTACATGTTGAATCTAAAACAAAACAAATAAATGCACAAAATGAAACAGAAACAGATCCATAGATACAAAGAGAAAGCTGATTATTGCCAAAGGGGTGGTGGGTGGGAGATGGGTGAACATTAAAAAAATAAATAAAAAAGTTCTCTCTTTATATAGAGTGTGAAGCAAAATTACAGAAGTAGTTGATTAATTAATGAACAACTGGAAACCCCACAAAAACAATGAGAACAATAAAAATAAGTTATCTCAGCTTCTACCAGCAGAAGACATTTTATCTATACAATGTAAGGCAGTAATGAACAAAAATAAAACAAGAAATACACTATGTAAAACAAATGAAGGGGAGAAATAAATCACATTTAACAAAAGGAAAGCTGACAATTTTATATGGTAGTATACATCCTTGGCTCCAGAAGACTTTAAGAATATTGAAAGAAAATAAAATTATATGATTACTTCACCCATAAACATAGAAATCACATCTCAGTTAAGTAAATTCAATGATTATATTTTATAAACATATTTTCAGATAGATTTTTTCCCTCAGGAATGTATCATAAAATGCATAGTTTCAACATTAGGGAATTTATACTCCATATTAAACTTTAAAGGAGAAATATGAAACTATCTCAATAGTAGAATTCTCATAATAATTTGAATCAAAGAGAACTTACTGAATTTGATAAGTAGTTAGATTCAAAAGTTTACAGCAAAAATCGTGCTTAATGGAAAACTTGAGATACATTCCCCTTTAAATCAGGAACGAGTCAAAGATGATACTTATTATTCTTTAACACAAACACAAATTATTCTTTAACTTGTGTTTCTGACCATTGATATAAGACAATAAGATGGTAAGAACCTGTGAGTACATGCTATGTTAATCTTAGGTGGTCAGACTCCAGAGACTTTACTATTAAAAAAAAAAAAAAGAAATGGTCACTGCCCTTGAGGAACTCAATCCAGTAAGAGAAATTGAATCTATCTGTAGGCAAAGGGTGGAGACTGGTGGAACAAGTACTCAGAGGATGATGGGTTTGTTTCCAATCTTGGCCACACATTAGCATCACCTGGGCCCCTGGGTAAACTTCTAAACATCCCAATACCCAGTCCACACTCTGAAAGTGGAACCCAGGCAAAAGTGATTGCTTAAACTCTCCAGGTGATGCCCACATGCAGCCAAGATTAAAAGAGCAGTATCTTGCTGGACTCAAGAAAACACCTGGAACACCTCTTAGAAACATTTGGCAATAATGTGGAGAACAGTGTGGAGAAGGACAAGAGATGGAAATAAAAGAGTTGACAGCTACAGCTGTGTTTTCAGCTGTCAGCCATGTGAGTTGACCATCTTGGACATCGAGTGTAGTCTAGCCTTCATAAGTCTGTAAGGCTAGTAACTGTTTTTGTTTGTTTAGCTTCTCTTGTATTATTTTGAAACTGCTAAATGGATTGCCACTGCTTTCATCAAATATGGAAACAAATTATACATGGAAGGAGGGTGGTGAAGTCTAATGGTAAAATACAGGTTTCAGATTCTAATCCAGTTTTACAAGTCACTTAAAAAACTGAAGGCTGGTCTAATTGTGGAAAGGCTAATTTTATCAATTGCTAAATGGTTCAATTAGAGGGTATTCAGCCATCCTTTCTGATGACTGTCTAACTCTTCTTAGCATCTAAAAGCTCAGGTCTTTCCTGAAAACAATATAGACATTTCATTACTTTCTGGAGTCAGCACACAGATCTGCTGAACTAGGTTTCTAGAATTACTGAGTCATTAAAGAAAAGCAATTGGGCCAAAAGCAGTCAATTGGAACAGTTCAATACCAGCAGCCAGGGAATGAGAGCCATACAGAATCCAGTATTCAAACTAAAAGATCCAGTTATACCATCTTATGTAGTGTTTCCTCTTCTGGTATTACATTTAATGAGATCTAATTCACAAACCATGAAACACAATTTAAACTGTAAAATTCAATGGTTTTTAGTATAGTCACAGAGTTGTACAACAATCACCACAATCTAATTTTAGAATATTTTCATCACCCTGAAAAGAAACCTCATACTAAACAGCTGTTAT